CCAGTTGAGATGGGGAATAATTCCATCACCCCAAAAAGTTCCCTGTGCTCCTCCCAGGCAGTGCCCCACCTTGCTTCCCAGGCAGTCACCGTCCAGGTGGCTGTGCCTACCTAGGCCTGCCCTCAACCGTTGGCCTGGCTCTCTCCTGCTCGGTGTCCCCAGACGTGGGTTTCCAGCCACAACCCCCTGGCCATCATCTGCACCCTCTCTCCAGCTACATGGGGCTCTGCTCTGTACCCCACGCTTTACCATCTTTCATCTGGCTGGGTCACGCTGGTGCGTGGTCAGCCCGTGGGATGGGAGGCACCACGCTGAGGGCACCCCATGTTTGCCTGGGACTTTGGGATTTCCTGTCCACAGCCAGCCACGAGCTCGCAGCGAAAAGTGATGAGGAGCTGGGAACCCCAAGACAGGGCAGGCTGTGTGGGCACGGAGTGGGGCCCTGAGCCTCAGGCCCGCAGATCACTCAGTTTTCCTGTCCGTGAAATGAGGATGCTGATGATGGTGGGGGGAGAGGGTTGGAGGGAGGACCATGGGAGAGGCTATTGTACTTCTCTCTGCTTTGTGAGAATAGACCACCACCAACTGCAGACCCTGCCTGTTGGTTTCTTCATTGTCACGAGCAAATGCTGCCTTACTGTGTTGCAGGGCAGGAGAACAAGAACAGAGGGTTCTGGCTTAGAAGAGTCGTGGCCCTAACAGGGAGTCTGGCGAACAATGCAATCCTTGTCTGTCGTGTTGCCGTATAAGTTCCCACGGGAAGTGTCTGCTCTTGTGAAAGTGAGCAAGGGTGAAGAGTGCAGTTCACGTGTCAGGTGTGCTGGCCCTGAGCTCCGCTGTTTGAGGACTCAGAGGGCGAGCCTGGGTCTTCGAGGACCTGTTGTGGGCAGCTGCGGGTGGACGGCTGGTGAGGATGCCTGGCTTGTAGAGTTGATAAATGGGGTGAGTAGTATCTGGAGGGGACGATGGGTAGTGGAATTCAGGGGGGTCAGGGCTTCAGGACTCTTAGTGTGTGCCTGGAGCTCCTCCCTATACCCCCGCCCCCGCCAGCTGTACACTCTACAGACAGGCAGGCCTCACGCAGGGAGACTGACTTGCCTTGAAGAGATCCCATCCTGGGGTTTCTGAGAACTGCCCCTGTCAGGCCATCCCACCTCCTGCCAAAGCCTGTGAACACTGCTTGATTTCTCAGCATAAAAGTTGCCATGAAAATATTTCCGACGCGCAGCATCTAGGCAGCTGGTGAATCTGTGGCCTCAGAGGCAGAGGGGGCCTCTGGCCACTGCCGCTGTCCACCTGCAGAATCTCCATGGTGGCCGCGTGGGCAATTTCCTGCCTCCAGATCGAAGCCAGGAGGGAGGGGATCGGAGTCGCAGGAGCACAGGCAGCTGAGCTGGAGGGCCCTTCAGCGATGTACCTTTAGCCCCTGGTTTTTACTCATGATGATATGAGGGCCACCGTTCACTAAGCAAACACTTAGAATTTGTGTCCCGTGGAAGATACAGAGAAGGAACGGAAAAAATGGCCCTTAGCCTGGAAGAACGATTATGACATGGGGACAGATAACCCGATCATTGTAATAGGGTGTACACTGAGGGCACAAGAGAGAGTGCCGTCGGTGAAGTTCGAGGAGAGGCCCCCGCTTGGTCTTGAGGCATGAATAGGAGTTTGCCTAGAGGTACAGAGGCATGGAGAGTATTTCAGACATGTGCAGACCCATCGTGAAAGGGACTAGAGCATGATGTTTGGGGGCAGTGATAGGGCACGAAGGATGGACCCAGGGGAGGTCATCGCCTGTCAGTGAGTGCGGGGATGGGTGAGCCCCGGGCAGGGAGGGGGCCTGAGGTCCCGAGCATGGCAGGAGGTGAGGCATGGGAAGCTGGCTGGGGCTGGAGCGCCCCAGCCTGAGGGCAGTGGGATCACTGGGGGTCAAGGGAGAGATCTGAGTCGTGGATGATAGGGGGGAAGGGTCAATGGGTGTTGAGGGTTGAGATGGGGTCCAAGAAGGAGGGGTGGTGAGGCAGGTGCTGCTCTGTAAGTGGTGTCACTGTGGTGGCCCCCCAGGCCAGCTCTCTTTCCACCCCTGCTCTCCCCCACCCCAGCCCCATCACAGCTTCTCAATGGGTAGGGCCTCCCAAGCCAGATGCTTGATGAATGGTTCTTTTCACACAGAAGATAGAACACTCTTTGGTTCAGTCCCAGGTTCAAGAGGCATCAGGGCTGAGGTGCATGTCTCCCTCTGGGGGGGACAGCCTGCTGAGGCCTGTTCTGGCGGTTTTGTCCTTCACGAGTGGCTCTGCCTCTCCTGGCACGTACTCCAGGGCAACTTGGAATGTCCATCTGGCCCGAGGCTTCACGAGGGGCCTGCGCTGAGAGCCTGGCACTGACGCAGGGGTCCTCTGACCTGGGACCAGACGGAGAAGGAAGCTGGAAGGCAGGGCGAAGGGTTGCCTGCCTGGTGGGTGTTGGCAGTGCCTGGGGCGCCCAGAGGCTGTGGTCGGTGCCGGGCCAGGCTGTGCTTCCAAAGTCACCCTTCCCAGTTCGCCGAGTGGCTCCTCCTATGTCTTTTATTAGTAATGCGCTTTTGTGCCCATGTGGCCTCTGTCTCCCTCAGTCACTTCATCCACACATTCACTTAGTGGTGCCTTTGTGGCTTTGTTTGCTCATTCATTCATAGCTCTGCTCTTGGCTTCATGGAGGTGAAGGTATGCCCTTGACTGGGAAGGAGGCCCTGGGCCACATCCTCCGTGCTCAGCGACGTTCCAGAATCTTCCCACCGTCACACTCTCGGGCACTGTCTGGATGGCAGGCTGAGTTACACCAGGAGAAGGTGGCTCAGTGAAGCAAGAGTCAGAGCGGAGGGGGGTGCTTGCCCACCAGGGCTGGGTGACCCTGGGGGCTGGCCAGGTCAGGAGCGTCATCTACTCAACCCCCAAGAAAGGTAGAGACAGAGACATTCTTTGGAAGAGTACTCTTAGGGTCCCCAGCGACGTGAAGCAGAACAGAAAACGCCATCAAAGCTGACATTATGGCAACACTCTTACTCTGATGGACTTAGGCTTCTTTTACAAGTTAGACTTATTTTTACTTTGATTTGACAGGGAGAGTCACCATAACATTTTCAGTGCATTGGCCCTCAAGTCCCTTCTGAAAGGAGAAAGAAAAAGTGCAAAGAGTAATGCAGGGATAGAGCAACTACTCACCACTCAAAATGTCAGAAGTGCTCTACTGTCTTTTTTTGTTTTTGTTTATGCATTTTGAGAGAGAAAGAGTGAGAGCATGAGTGAGGGAGGGGCAGAGAGAGAAAGGGACAGAGAATCCCAAGCAGGCTCTGCACTGTCAGTGGAGAGCCCGATGTGGGGCTTGAACTCATAAACTGTGAGATCGGGACCTGAGTTGAAATCAAGAGTTGGACTCTCAACTGAGCCACCAGGTGCCCTTATATATATATATATATATATATATATATATTTTTTTTTTTTTTTTTTTTTTTTTGAAGAAAGAAATCAGTATCCAAATTGTTCAGCTATTCTATTTTCTCGTCCCCAGAGGCAGGGTGTGTCAATTCTGCCCCCGGAGGGCATAAATTGGGGCCATGTCTGGAGACATTTTTGGAGAGCTGGAGAGCTCCCAGCACTGAGTGCGTGAGGCCAGGTGTGTGGTTGAACACATAGGGTGCAGGGACAGCCCTGCCACAGAAAGTGTCCTGCCCCCAGTGTCGACGGTGGAGGGCAGGGGACCCCGTGTGGGTGTGGCACAGAGAATGAATGCACTAGCGTGGTGCGCGCCAGTCTTATTTTTAACCACACACACAGAAAGAACATTTGGCATCATGTAGTTGTATGTTATGTTCTAAAAATGTGTATATATGCTGTGGGAATTCTACATCTTGCTTTATTCATTTGATTTTTTTAAAGTTTTATTTACCTAAGGGATCGTTCCACCCAACATGGGGCTCAAATTCACGACCCCAAGGTCAAGAGTCGATGCTCCACTGACTGAGCCAGCCAGGTGCCCCTCATCTGACATGTTTTTAAGAATATCACAAGTTGGGGCACCTGGGTGGCTCTGTCGCTTAAGCATCTAGCTCTCGATCTCAGCTCAGATCTTCATCTCAGGATCGTGAGTTCAAGCCCTGCGTTGGGGTCTACACTGGGCGTTGGGCATGAAGCCTACTTAAAAAAAAAAAAAATATATATATATATATATATATACACACATACACACACACACAGATATCACAAGTGGACACATATGGCTAGTTTAAATTCTGTAGTTTCACTCCTTTACCAATGGGTCACATTCTATTTATCCTTCTTCCACAGATGGACAGCTAAGTGGTCATACTTTTCATTGCGAGTGTGCCGGATGGGAACATCTTTGCACATGCGCTTTGCACACTCATGTGAGTGTCTCTGGGTCAGGTGCTTGGGAGTGAAATCATAGGCACGTAGGAACACAGCTTGAGTTTACACCTTCCTCAGCACTCAAGACTGTCTGTTGTTTGGTTTGGTGAGAGGGGGCATGTTACAGTTGCTTTAGTTTGCGTTTAGCTGATTACTAGCGAAGCTGAGCGTTTCTTCCCACGAATGTCAGCCCCTTGGGTTGGCTCTGAAGCCCTCTGCATGGCCCCAGTCATAGCACCTGCTGACCCAGACACTGGTCCTGGCGGGGCCACTTCCCCGGCAGGGTGCTGGCTGCACATCCTCTCTCGGAGCCACCGACTGCCTGGCCTAGTGTCCCTGCACACCACTTTTCTGCTGCTAGCCCGGCCACCCTTCCACAGGGCACCGCACGGCTGATTGGGTTTCGCCTTTTATCTTGTTTTATGGTTACACTGTAGTACCCTTTGCTGGACTTGCCTGTGCCCACGCCTCCCGGAGTGTTCCCGGAGGGTAACTTGGTTTCTGAGTTCTGGAGGCTTGTCACTCCTTGTTGTGCAGGTGGGGGCCGGTGGGGACTGGGCGGGTCTCCTGCTGACGCTGGCTCTGTCCCTGCAGGCAGACCTCTGCGTTATGACCTGGCTGCTGGGCTACGTGGACCCCTCGGATCCCTGCTTTGTGGCTGCCATCCTCACCATCACTTTCAACCCGCTCTTCTGGAATGTGGTAAGTACTCTGCACCCATATGATCTGGGTGAGCTGCACGGACGGACAGATGGAGGGCTCTCCCCTCCCCATGTCTGTCATCCTTTCTGTTTCCTCATCGAGCTCAGATCCCAGGTAGGGGATGCGGACCGGGGAAGCCCCTCATTTTGGGGGTCCCATAGCATCCCGACAGCGACAGCTCTGGGCCAGGCTGGGCCGGCGGGCTGTCCTGTAACGTGGCCCACCTGTGCCCGACCATCCCGGCCTCATCCTCAGTGAAGCAGACTGCCTCGGCTGGGGGGCTCCCTTCCTCCTCTGCCATGCTGTGCGGGGAAGCCGCCTTCTTGTGAATACTCGCCCCCTCAGATGTGCTCCAGAAATACGATCCTTTGTCCTGAACGAGGCTCCCTGCAAAACGGTTCGCACATCGCTGGACTGAGTGTGCTGGGTAGTAGTGAAAACAGGAGAAAGAGCAGCACCCAGTTCTTCTGTGGGTCCAGGGGACACGCAGGGGTCGCTCGGAGGACGGAGTGGGGCCAGGCTGTGTGGAAGGGCGCCCTGAACCCTCTGAGGAGGGTATGGGAATGGAGGACAGCCTCTCCTGCTGTAGTTTCCTGGGAGCTGCCTCCTCCCCCGCCAGGATGTGGGGGAAGCTCTTGGGGCTTCTGAAAGGAAGGAAAGGGGTGGCAGTGGTGGTCCCTGAGCCTCCTGCCCTGTGCCTGGGCTCGGGTTTGCTGATGCAGAGCCGGGACATCCTGTGATCACCCTTGAGGTGAAGAGTAAGGCCAAGCTGAGCATTAGCAACACACTGTTCCAGACTGTTTTCATTTCAGGTTGACCACTTGGTCCCAGGGGCAGAACAGGACATGTTTTTCATCTGGTTTACGAGTTAGGTCTTTTCTCTATCTGGGAGATCGCAGGCTGGTGGGAGCGTGGGTGGGGGGCGGGGCTGCTCATCTCAAAGAGGCTGCGTTCGGAATGTGCCGTCCCTCCTCCGCGGCCCCAATATCGGAACACGCTGCACCCACCCTGAGGTGGTTGGCGCAGGCCCCTGGGCTGACAGGGGGAGGGGGCGGCATGAGCTCTGAGGGCTTGTTTTGTCTAAAACCATTCTTTGGGCCTCCTGGGACCCCACCACACCCCACACAGGACCGCGTGCCCGCACTGCTCCTGACCTGACAGAGAGAGGTCCCTGAGCAAGAGCTGGTCTCCCGCAGTGGCTGCGCCTCCCGGTTCATTTGTGCTCTCTCCTTCTCTCCCCTCCACCGTCCCCACCCCCCGCCTTTCCTCTGGCAGCACAAGACAATGAAGGGTGAAAAGGGTATGTGCCAGTCTGAAAAAAAGGCCCCTGAAAGATGTCCACACCCCAATCCTTGGAACCTGTGAAGGGTTACCTAGATGGCAGCAAAGGGGAGCTCTGCGGGTATTAAGGATCTCAGGATGGGGAGATTGCCGTGGACTGTTGGGGTGGGCCTGAAATGCAGTCACATGTGCCCTTATAAGGGGGGGGTCAGAGGGAGATGTGAAGACACTGGCTTTGAAGACTGAGGTGATGAGGCCACCGTCAAGGAAGGTGGGGAAGGCGGGGCCACTGGTCAAAGGCAGGGCCACCGGTCAAAGGCAGGGCCACCAGAAGCTGGCACAGGGGAGGACCCTAGAGCCTGTGGGAGAGTGCGGCCCTGCTGGTACCTTGATTTGGCCCAGAGACACAGATTTTGGACTTGTGGCCTACGGAACTGTGAGAACCTGAATTCCTGTTGTCCTAAAGCACCTTGTTTGTGGTAATTGGTTACAGCAGCCACAGGAACCTGGTGCAGGAAATCAGACAGGTTGTTGGTCCCTGTGAGAAGGGCCTGCAGTCAGCTACCCCTGTCCTCCACCCCCCCGCCGGCAGGCCTGGCCTATGACCGCCAGTCCCACTGGGCTCCCAGTGCTTGGGGGCTTGGCTCGCAGGCTTGCCGGCTGTGCAGTGGGTCTCTGGGACGCTTCTTTGTGCACAAGCCCCTTCCCTCATTTCCCACTGGGTCTTCCAACCGTGTGTTTTTGCAAGTTCATTTTGAAGTTGCGTGATGGCCCACGGCGGCGTGGTTGAGGTGTTTAAGGTTTGGGAGGCAGGCAGCTCCTGTCTGTGCGTTGGTCGTAAGGCATTTTTCTTTTGCCTTAGCGTTTGATTTGCCTCGTTCTTGCAAAAATTATGCACTGGCACAGCATGTAGTCATTAGCAGGAGGGAGAACTCACCAGTCGGTTCAGAGCGGGAGAAGTTATGGAAACACACTGTGGTTTTGTGGGCTGCTGCTGGCAGCAGTGGGAACGAGACCGCTGGGAACGCTGGTCTGAGTGCGACCCCAGCTCTGTGACGCCTGGAGACGAGAATGCCACCGGTACGGGAGGTCACACCTGTGAGAGCATTTAATGAGCATTGATTGAGTCTTCGTAATAGCTGACACTTGGCAGGCCTCGCCATGCTGCGCCATTGTGCTGAGTGCGGTTCACGCAGGATTTCAGCTGATTGTCACAGCAAAGGCTGTGATTATCCCCTTTGGAAACCAGCCTCCGAGAGGTTCACTCATCTTTTACTTACTGATGGCCCACTGCCTGCTAGGCGTGGGGGCACACTGCCCCGGTTCTGGAGCAGCTGGCTCTCCAGGGGGTGACACCGTATGAGTAAACACACGCATGGCCATGCACCAGGATGGGCCTGGCGGGCGACAAGGCAGGGGATGGGGGGAGCTGGTCAGGGCAGGGGTGATCCTTGAGCAGAAACCTGCCCTCGCGTGGGAGGGAGCCCTCGGGTATCTGGAGAAGAGGAAACAAGTGCAAAAGTCCTGGGTGGTTTCAAGGAACGGGCCACTGGCTGGAATCCGACAGAGCGAGCACGGAGGGCAGCAGGTCAGAGAGGGGCTGGCCTAACAGAGCAGGCCTTGCAGGCCGTGGGTGGCATGTGCGATGGTTTCCGAGCGGGGAGATGTGGAATGAGTGGCCTGATCTGACTCCGGTTTTCCAGGCTGGAGTGGGCCGATAAGAGCAGACGAGGGGTGAGGGTGGGCCGAGGGCTGGGCTGGAGGCTGTCACAGCGCTTGCGGCCCAATGGTGGCCTCACCCGGGTGGCACCAGTGGGAGTGGGAGAAGTGGTCAGAGCCTGGGCATGATTTGAAAGCAGGAAGAGTCAATGGGATTTAAATATATGTTTGGTTTTCAGTCTGGCACTCAGCTCCCCAAACCCTTGAAGTTTCCTCGGTGCTGAGCGTCAGCAAGGTGTATTGTGTTATGTTAATGAGGTGACTTTTAGCCACCCGTCCCCCAACCTAAGGACTGGGGAAGGACACAGGCTTCCAGAGAAACCAACCACCCCGAACCCCCGGGAAGGGAGAGGACCTGAGGTCATTTCAGTAGCCACTGGCAACCACATAATGTAGCCAGCTGCCTCTGTAACGCGGCCTCCAGGAGAACCCAAAAGGACGGGGTTCCAGGAGCTTCTGGGTGGGTGAGCACGAAGATGTGGGGAGAGTGGCGTGCACGGAGGGCGTGGACACTCTGCACCCCCCCTTCCCCATCCCCCCTCCCCCGTTTGTCCTTTCATCTGGGTCACGATTCCTACCCTTTAGTCTCCTTTGTTATAAACTGGTAACCAAGCAGATAGACGGGTTTCCTGAGTTCTGTGAGCTGGGCGCAGAGTGTCAAGCTTGCGTTGAATCGTAGGACAGTCAGCTGGTGTCAGAGACTTGGCTGGATGTGCGGGTGCAGAACTGTAGGGGGTGTGGCCACGTGGGGCAGCCTGGGGGCTGAGGGCTCAGGGCTGTGCGGAAGAGACCTCCGTTCTGCCCGTGTCTGGGAGATGCCCGGTGGAGACGCAGGGCTTGCGGGCCTGGAATTCAGGCGGTGGGATGGCCGGGGTTGGTGGTGACGTGTGAAGTCACAGAGAGTGGCCGCCCGGCCGAGCCTGGCCTGGGACCCGCACTGTCCGCCTCCCCAGGGCTCTTTGGAGGAGATACAGCATGACCCCATGAGCTGAGGGGCCTGCCCACTGTCAGTGCCGGCGTGTAGGGGCCTAGGCACATCCTCCCCACCAGTACTCAGCCCATCTCTCTCTTCTTCCCTCCCCCTCTCTCCCTGCAAAGGAGCTCTTTGTTGCTTCTGCACTCTTCTTCATGAATCTTTGGGGGAAACCAACACCATGGACCTTCCCTGTTTCTTGAAACCCTGTGCCTCACGCTGCTTTCCTGGCTTACTCTGCTGCTCCTTGTGCACAACTTTTCCTCTGCCTGTCATTCATTCATTCACTCACTCACTCACTCACTCACTTACTCAACAGACGCTCATAGCCCACAACCAACTGCGTTCCAGGCACAGTGTGAGCCTGCAGGGCCAGGGATTAAGCTGCACCGTCTCCATTGTTAGAGGTCACACGGAAGTTTGTAATTAAAATGGTGAAAAGGTTAGGTGCTACAGAGAGACTAATTGGGGCTTTTCCCAATTAGTCATCTCAGGGCACCAGGGCCTGGGCATGTCCAGGCCCAGGAGGGAGCCTGCTGTGTGAACCCTGGCCAAGAACGTCCCTGTGTGCTCCCCTCGCGGGGGCCCAGGGTACAGATCCAGGGGCCGCAGGCCTTCACTCTGCACTCTCGCCGCCCCCCCAGGCCCCGCCCTCAGCGGGCCACTTGCTCCCCTGGTCAGCCCTGCGGTTAGCCAGGTTCCCCAGCACTCTGTGCGCCTCTCCATCCTTCCACGCCGCACACTCCCTCCTTCACACTTTGTGAACACGGGCCTGGGCCACACAGCCCAGCGCCCCAGCTCTCGGTTAAAGGCGCCCCACGCCTCCCAGCAGAAAGTGGGAGCCCTCAGCCCTCTCCCCGGCCCCTGGAGCCCCTCTGCTGGGCATCCCGTTGCCTGCAGGCTCAGTCACCCTGGTCCCTGCCCTTCCCTGGTGACTTGTCCTCTTGCGGGGGTTTTCCTGTGCCACTTCTTCCAGGTAGCCATCCCTGCTTCTCACAAACCCCCTCCCCAGCCCACCCTCTGGGTC